CCACTTTAGTTGTGATACAAACCTTATTCAAACATATAGGCCTATGGGCTAGGCTACATGAGGTGTGCGACTATGACTAGAAAAAGTAGCCAAAGAAAAAGCAGTTTCTTATGCTGGGCATCATTCACAAGTGATAATATATAATTCACAAGTGATAGGCTAATATTGTCACCCATTAGACTATTCTTGATTTAATCTTGTCTTTACACAAACTAAATAATATATGTGGGGCAGCGGGAAAAAATACATGTAATCTACGCACTTAAATAGCGAATGGAGGACACTTTTCCCCAGTGGTTTATTTTCACGCCAGCCAGGTAGGCTATACTCCTGTTGTAAATGCAGTGGGGAGAACAAGTATTTGATACACTGCCGATTTTGCAGGTTTTCCTACTTACAAAGCATGTAGAGGTCTGTAATTTTGATCATAGGTACACTTCAACTGTGAGAGACGGAATCTAAAACAAAAATCCAGAAAATCACATTGTATGATTTTTAAGTAATGAATTTGCATTTTATTGCATGACATAAGTATTTGATCACCTACCAACCATTAAGAATTCCAGCTCTCACAGACCTGTTAGTTTTTCTTTAAGAAGCCCTCCTGTTCTCCACTCATTACCTGTATTAACTGCACCTGTTTGAACTCGTTACCTGTATAAAAGACACCTGTCCACACACTCAATCAAACAGACTCCAACCTCTCCACAATGGCCAAGACCAGAGAGCTGTGTAAGGACATCAGAGATAAAATTGTAGACCTGCACAAGCCTGGGATGGGCTACAGGACAATAGGCAAGCAGCTTGGTGAGAAGGCAACAACTGTTGGCGCAATTATTAGAAAATGGAAGAAGTTCAAGATGACGGTCAATCACCCTCGGTCTGGGGCTCCATGCAAGATCTCACCTCGTGGGGCATCAATTATCATGAGGAAGGTGAGGGATCAACCCAGAACTACACGGCAGGACCTGGTCAATGACCTGAAGAGAGCTGGGACCACAGTCTCAAAGAAAACCATTAGTAACACACTATGCCGTCATGGATTAAAATCCTGGGTCCCCCTGCTCAAGCCAGCGCATGTCCAGGCCCGTCTGAAGGTTGCCCAATGACCATCTGGATGATCCAGAGGAGGAATGGGAGAAGGTCATGTGGTCTGATGAGACAAAAATATAGCTTTTTGGTCTAAACTCCACTCGCCGTGTTTGGAGGAAGAAGAAGGATGAGTACAACCCCAAGAACACCATCACAACCATGAAGCATGGAGGTGGAAACATCATTCTTTGGGGATGCTTTTCTGCAAAGGGGACAGGACGACTGCACCGTATTGAGGGGAGGATGGATGGGGCCATGTATCGCGAGATCTTGGCCAACAACCTCCTTCCCTCAGTAAGAGCATTGAAGAAGTCGTGGCTGGGTCTTCCAGCATGATAACGACCCGAAACACACAGCCAGGGCAACTAAGGAGTGGCTCCGTAAGAAGCATCTCAAGGTCCTGGAGTGGCCTTGCCAGTCTCCAGACCTGAACCCAATAGAAAATCTTTGGAGGAAGCTGAAAGTCCATATTGCCCAGCGACAGCCCCGAAACCTGAAGGATCTGGAGAAGGTCTGTATGGAGGAGTGGGCCAAAATCCCTGCTGCAGTGTGTGCAAACCTGGTCAAGACCTACAGGAAACGTATGATCTCTGTAATTGCAAACAAAGGTTTCTGTACCAAATATTAAGTTCTGCTTTTCTGATGTATAAAATACTTATGTCATGCAATAAAATGCAAATTAATTACTTTTTGTTTTAGATTCCGTCTCTCACAGTTGAAGTGTACCTATGATAAAAATTACAGACCTCTACATGCTTTGTAAGTAGGAAAACCTGCAAAATCGGCAGTGTATCAAATACTTGTTCTCCCCACTGTATAAGCAATGTGCTTAATATTTGGAAAGTTGAGAAATAAATATAGTAGGCCTAGCCTATAGAAAGCTGATCCTCTTTGTAGTAGAGGCCATCACTCTGTTTTCTCAAACAATTGCATAGCTTATAGAAATGTTGCGCAACATTTGATTAGATTTTCGAAAACATTTGCATTGATGTCAGAGTGATTAGAGGGACAATAGAGTGCTGAGTACCAGGCAGTTAGCATGTTTGGTAGGCTACTAATGACCATCAGCAGCATCAGAGCTTGGAGAAGCCTAATTACTGTGGCTAAACGGTCACGTGGAATTTGACTGCCTTCATGACTCGTAACCACCGGTAATACGGTCACCGCAACAGCCCTAGCCAAGCATTGTTTTTGCAAAGAAGACCTTGCTTTTTCATTGTATGCTCATTTACTTGTGCGGTTGCCAGCTATTTAATTTTCATCTTATGAAAATTTTACATTTTAGTCATTTAGCAGAAGCTCTTATCCAGAGCGACTTAGTGAGTGCATACATTTTTCTTACTGGCCCCCTGTGGGAAACGAACCCACAACCCTGGCGTTGCAAGCACCATGCTCTACCAACTGAGCTACAGGGGACCTGTAATGAAGCTATTTTATGCCGAATGTGTTGGACTAATGTATTTTCCATGAAGGAAAACTATAGTTGCACGTCCCTGATCACTCTATTGAAGCAACAACAACAAAATAACTTTACTTTCAATATAAAACGTGACCCCTGTCAATACACAGCTGGACTCTGCTGATCCTGCTCCGGCTTTCTCCTGTTGTGCTATTTACAAACACGTGACTTGCTCAACTTTGCTGGGGACCTAAGCTCCATAATGCAAAATAATAACAGGTGAAATAACGCAATCTGCTTTATCTCCTAACTCATTGCCCAAGTTGACTGCAGGTATTCACTTAAAAAATGTATAGAAAAACTGAAGTTTCAACGGTATTGAAAAACCATCCTGTAGCTATTTCCAAATACCGCGGTATACAGCCCAAGCCTAGAAAACATATTTACCAGCCCTCTAGTTTACCTATTTCAGAGAAACTTTCCTCCCAACTGAAGGCAAATCTATAATCTGGTATACCTTATCTGTCAGTAGGGGTTATAAAATAAAATAAACATTTACCGAAGTTCACTCCCTCCATACTAGATTCCAGCGCACCTTTATGGAGATATGGAGTGAATTCGGTAAACTCATGAAGTAGGATATAAACGTTTATTTTCACACATCTTATAACCCCTACTGACTGGTAAGGCATTCCGGAATATAAATGTGTTTTCGGTGGTGGGAAAAGTTGATCAGAAATAGGTAAATCAGAGGGCTGGTAAATATGCTTTCGTGGACATGGGATGCAGCCTTCAGCGACGGGGGCCCATGTGTACAGGTCTCCTGGAGCTAAGAGGGTAATTTGTGACATACATCGAAATATACCTACTCTAGTAATAAAGTAGGACATTTAATAGGATATCGCATGTTTTTTCTCTAACATAGGCTACTTACAAAGTTTGCAGCATCCATGATGCCATCCTCCACTGGGTGAGTGCAGTCCAGGGTGAACTTCAGGACCTGCTTCTTCTTCTTGCCACCAGTCTTGGTCTTTTTGACGACCTGCTTCTTCTGTCAGGACATTGCGGAGGGTCTAACGTTAGTAACTACAAAACGATAAATACTGAATGAGACAATACTGTTTCATTTCGGTATCTAACGTGCCAACGTTAGATTGTTTTGAAATTAGCTAACTTGATTGATTTGTGTTATCAAACTGGTCAGGAAATGTTTGGTCGTGACGTGTGTAAACTAACGATGGGACTAGACTTTAGCATATCAATTTGGTAACACATTTGATTAAATACATTTTAAAACGGTCACTAATCGGACTATAATTAGCACGCTAACTTCTAGCTAGTGCATTTTCCGCTGGCTAGCCAAGTTAGCTAGCTAAATTGCTACAACGTGGTTCAATGGGTGCAGGCCCAACTGGTAAACAAAGCAATGGATTGGTGCTACAATTCTTCTTTGGCATCACGGAAACACATTTCAATGTGGATTTATTACGTTAACATTAACTACAATAAACGACAGACAATAAAAAGTGATATACTTAGCTATACAACCTATTTCAACGTGAGTACTCACAATCGGAGCCATGTTGGCCGGCGATTCTTGTCCAGAAAGGAAGAGGCAGCGTTTGCTAAATTCTATATCCGGTCTACATAAATAGATGAAATCCATGACTCTTGGATAGATTCAGCCAGGAGATATTATTTGCCCCTGTTTGAGGTATAATTATTTAAATTTACATTTTTTAGTCATTTAGCAGACGCTCTTATCCAGAGCGACTTACAGGAGCAATTAGGGTTAAGTGCCTTGCTCAAGGGCACATCGACAGATTTTTCACCTAGTCGGTTTGGGGATTAGAACCACTAAGCTACCTGCCGCCCCAATTATTATTGATATGGCTATAACTTCAACAGGCATATGTAGGCTACATGTATCCTCTAAATCCTGTTGAGTTGTTCAAAGGAAAATAGCTTCTCTTTACAATTGAGTCAAAAAGGCTGCCCTCATTTCAATATTTCTGAGACTGCAGGATGGCGGTTGGTGGTGATACCCATTCAATCCCTGCTTCCTGGTTAATTAAGGGTAGAATATTCAATATTAGGGGTATTTTTCCCCTGCTGACATGGCAACAATATCTGATTTCCCTTTTGTCATCTGTAACAGTATGGTTGCACCATTGGCCCACCCCCAGTCCCCCACTCTGTGAGCAGAATGGCTGCTGGCTAGGGGAGCAGTCAGCTGCCTGGCATCAGGGCTCAACCAGGCCACTCCAGAAGAGTTTCTGCATTGCTGTCATTCCTGCTGGGGGTAGCTGATAGGACCACTGAAAGGTAAGACAGTAGCGCTCCGTGCTGTCCATATGCAGGAACAGACTCCATCCACTACACTTTTACAGTGAGTTCTTCTGTTGGGGGTTTGATTGGACATACAGAGCAGTAGGCTACAATAGAAGTACTACTATTACAAAACAATATAACTTTCATGTGACATCATGTGTGTTTTTTCATCACAGCACTGAGGACTTATACCATGGCTGGCAAGGTAAGTGAAAGAGGGAAGTTATCTCTAACCTAACTGTTCCAACTATATGAGACTAAAGTCATGGAAGTATTATGTACTGCATTAGCCTGGGTACCAGTGTGTTAATGCTAATGTTCCAGTTCCACTCCTTCCACATATGATGTCAAACTCTATATGTGAAGTCAAACATGATGTCCTACTTACATCATGGCTGATTTTAAATGTCAGTTTAGTTGTTTAAAAAAAAGTTCATCCTAAGGGATTCACTATCACTACACTATCTCTGTAGATGGCAGGGGGTGTCCTCTCTCCTTTGGATAATCTGTGTGGAGTGGACTGTGCCAATGTCCATCCCCTGTTTTGTCACCTGTGCCATGAGCAGTACCAGCACCCATGCCTCTTAGACTGTTACCACATCTTCTGTGCGCGCTGCCTACAAAGCAGAGTCAATGAAAGCCGTCTCAACTGCCCCCTCTGCGGGTAAGGAACTTAATTTACTGAAAGAAGCATTCTGAATTCACAAGCTGTGCACTTAATTTGACACTATTGTTATGTCCAAGACTAACTAAATGACCCCAACCACATTTTTATCTTTGTGGTGACCTCTTGCTAGAAAGGATTTGTTTGAAAATGACAAAGATAATCCCATATATTTATGTCATGGCCTTTCTGCAACAGAAGATTACCTGCTTTCATAGTATTGTACTTACTATTAGAAACATTTGAATTGTGTCATAAAGGCTTCTCACTTGAAACATTCAAATGTCTTTAGCTGTGCAGCTCTGTACTGGTTTCAAAATCTGCATTATTTTGACAAGGGTTGGTGGGCCAGGACTTCCAGAAATCTTATGGCTCAAGATCTATAGTTACGTGTTTAAACATTGGGTTTGAGCATAAGGCATTGCATCTCAGTCTTGGCTATGAAGTAGGTGGAATCCCCTTAAGAATCTGTGTAACTCTCTCCAGTTCTCAGCCAACTCTGATCTACACATGAATGGAAAACATGACAGGGACTCGCCTAACCTTACAATCAATACTAGCCTTAGTGGATGAAAGTCAAGCAGTCTGCTCAGGACTATGGCTCAGAGTGATCCCGACCAGGGCAGGATGGTCTGAGCGGCTGGGACAGCTGCAGGGTCAGCCCTGGCTCTGAGTTAGCACCATGCTGAACGCTCAGCGTGACGGGCAAGCTCCGTTAAGGCCACCATGCAGTCACACTACAACAAAACCTACACAGGCATCTTGGCAATGGAGCCGGGAGCTCAGGGCAATTAAATGTGACCTCACAGTGCCCTATCCATTTTATCCCCTACTGGAGAATGAGTCATGGCCAACAGTATTACCTAAAGGCCCTCTGGATTAGCTCTCACTGATCAAAGAGCACAGGGCTATGTGGAACAAAACTTCTCCAGGGAATAGATTATACTGGAAATAAAACTAATCTTAGATTGGGCCTTTTCTATCACTAAAGAGAGTTTTCAGCATATGAATTTATCACTTATCTCTGATTATCTTCAAACACGAAAACACAAGCAGATACACAAAGAAAAGGGGTGGTAACCCTATTTAGATCACTGGATCAAGTAGTGATGAGCAACACATTGGGGATGATGTCACAGCCAAACTGATACACTGCATCATACAGATACCCCACTGTGCACACACAGGTTGAATCAATGTTGTTTCCATGTCATTTCAATAAGTTACATTGAAACAACGTGGAGTAGATGTTGAATTGACGTATGTGCCCAGTGGGACAGTATGCAGCTGACATGATCAGTCATTTCAGTCCATTGCCTGAATATATCCTGAGGTCCCCTGATCAACTCCCCAACGTGATGCCAAACAAACAGTAGATTGCTTGAAATCATTTCTGTCCAAATCGTTTCTCTGACATTAGGTAATTTTGAAACACCCTGGGTTAAGTTGGATGTTCTGTGTAGGGGAGAAAGGGGTTGACCACAGGTCATCAGACTGTAAAATAATCCTACAACTGTCTGCTAGATTATCCCTTCTGCAAATTCTGATAGTATCAAAGCCTACAGCTAAATCTGTCCCTGTAGATCTCTACAGGTCCAGAGGGGTTTGATGCCCTGCCTGCCCGAGCCCACAACTGCTATGGTTGCTGCTTTGTTCCTCATGTGCTCTGTGATTACATATCTGAGATGAAAACCAAACACTGGATCACATTCTGATCATGCAAGATAGATATGATAATAAGTTAAATAAAACATAGTTGGTGCGAGTATGACTGCTATGGGGTGGTTTCCCTATTTAGAAATGGTTCCCAGTGGCTCTCGACCAGGCATAGTTTATACCAGAGTTCTCCTCATTCCAGGTATTGAAGAGCCTGCAGGTGTGAGTAGATGGATCTATGGAGTGGACCATTGTGTTGTAGGCTGCTAGAGCGAAGTGTGTTCCCAGGGGAGATAACCCAGTGGGCACACTCTCTCCCTGCAGGTCCCCCTGGCCCAGTGGAATACGGAAGTGCTGTTTGTTGCTATTTTCATCAGTACTACCATCCACTCACTCAAGAACCATGTAATCTCTGAATTTGCTACACTGCTATTAGTAGCACACAATAAACCCTGTTGCTATGTAAACTAGATAAACATTGGAGAGGAGGGAGGAGAAGGGTAGGCTAGGCATGTTTACATCATTGCCATTCCACCATGGTCTCTAGAGCAGAGGTACAGGACATTTTATTGACCACATGAATAACTAGGGCCCAGAGTTTTTATGGCAGGCAGTTGGTAACTCTCTCTGTTCCTGTCAAAGCACCTGACAGAATCAAGGAACATTTCCAGCAAAACTTGCACCAGTAGAAGTGTCATGGGTACTCCTTATTATTTTACAGTCAATGTTACTCCCCAGTACAGGGTGTGTAAACACCAGGTCAATGTTACTCCCCAGTACAGGGTGTGTAAACACCAGGTCAATGTTACTTCCCAGGACAGGGTGTGTAAACACCAGGTCAATGTTACTTCCCAGGACAGGGTGTGTAAACACCAGGTCAATGTTACTTCCCAGGACAGGGTGTGTAAACACCAGGTCAATGTTACTTCCCAGGACAGGGTGTGTAAACACCAGGTCAATGTTACTCCCCAGTACAGGGTGTGTAAACACCAGGTCAATGTTACTTCCCAGGACAGGGTGTGTAAACACCAGGTCAATGTTACTTCCCAGGACAGGGTGTGTAAACACCAGGTCAATGTTACTTCCCAGGACAGGGTGTGTAAACACCAGGTCAATGTTACTTCCCAGGACAGGGTGTGTAAACACCAGGTCAATGTTACTTCCCAGGACAGGGTGTGTAAACACCAGGTCAATGTTACTTCCCAGCCCAGGACAGGGTGTGTAAACACCAGGTCAATGTTACTTCCCAGTACAGGGTGTGTAAACACCAGGTCAATGTTACTTCCCAGTACAGGGTGTGTAAACACCAGGTCAATGTTAGAGGGTGCATACTTAAACTGTAAATGAATTCTTGTTTGACATGTTTATGACATGCCATTCATCTTACCTGTAGTAAAAAAAGTACTGTCAGGTACTGAATTCAGAGTATATTAGCAAAGCTTCTGTGATTAGATATGATGTTGCACCATCTGCTGGAGAGCCATGGGAATGCAACTCACTACTTTTTATGATCAGTGTAGCGAAAAATAGAAATCTGAATGAAGCACTGCATCAAACATTTTTACTGTGCTTTTGTTGCTGGATCCGTCTGTGTCACAGATACCCATCAATTGTAAAAGGGATGAATGCACTCCCACCAGAGGACCGTCTGCTGAAGTTCCTGGTTGATAACTCTACTGATGACTGTGAAGAGACAGTCCAGTGTGCCAACTGTGACCAAGAGAGTAACAAACAGGTATCTCACAACAGATGCTCTCAGAAATAACTCTAACAAACCATGCTATAGATCTTAATAGAGATACTTTATTATCATGGATCATATTGTGTGTGTGTGTGTGTTATAGGACACAGGGCCAATGTACTACTGTAACACGTGTAGCCAGCCCCTGTGTGGAGCTTGCAGGGATTCCACACACAAGGCCAAGATGTTCTCCCACCATGAGATCGTGTTCCTGGCCAAACGCACCAAAGTGGGCCACCGGATGTGCTGTGAGTACCACCTGTATTATGTTCACACTACAACAAGTGCTCAGCAGCATCTAGCTATAATTACATTGTTATCTAATAATAACCTATGGTAACACTTTACATTAAGTTGCCCCTATTACTACGTAACTAACACAATAATAACTGTTAACAACATAGTAGTTACATAGATTTTACTAGGCTAACCAGGAGAAATTAGGAGACAGGATAACATTAGGTATAACCCCTTTAGTTACATTGTACAATCTAACAATCTTTAAGAAATAACTGTGTAATTACACTTCACTTTACATTAAGTTGCTTGCTCCTGGGTATGTGCATTGTAAATACATGTATATCCCTTGTAACAACATTGTAATTACAGAGTTGTAATGTAACTATAAGGGTTATACCTAATGTTCTCCTGGTTATCCTATTGTCTGCAAAGGTTGTTACATTGTAACTACATAGTTACTATAAAGGTTATACCCTACTGGGTTTCATTTTACATTCAGTTGCTTGCTCCTGGGTAGGTACATGATAACTACAAGTATATCCTATGTAACTACAATGTTCTTACATTATACTTAATTCAGTATAGCCTTTGAGCAGCTTTGAGCCAGGTCATAACATAGAAATAAACTAATTGAAAATGACCGGTAGTTAATTTGCCTTGTTTTAATTGTTGTTAGCAGGTCCTAGCCTATTTATCAACCCTGGAATTACATGTTGATTCAATGGTAGTGGCACCTTGTAGTTACGTGTACCAAGATCAGATTTAGTTATTAACATGGTAATTCACAGATGACTTTCAAATGTGTAATTACAAAACATTAGTTATATAGTGGAACAAGATAATGTGTAATAATAACATCAGTAGTTACACATGTAGAATAACCTTCATCAAGTGAATGTGTAATTTCACATTCCTTGTTCCAATTGTGTACTAACTGATTCCGCAACAACCCTATTACAATGTAATGACACTGTAAAACCTATGTAACTAATATGTTGTTAACAGTTATTACTGTGTTAGTTACATAGTAATAGGGGCAACTTAATGTAAAGCGTTACCTAACCGATTGACAGAATTGTCAACATGTTCATGGATGATTATCTTATTGTAAGGAAACAGTGATGTGATAGTGATGGTCTAACATAGTGTTTGTCTACACAGCTCTCCACGAGGAGCCCTACATCATGTTCTCCACAGAGAAGAAGTCGATGCTCTGCATCAAGTGTTTCAGAGACATGCAAGTGTGAGTGAAGCTCCTACTACAGCGACGCCACAGATTCAGACAGTTAGTTAAGCTAATTTAGGTTTCTGCTAAATTCCACAGGGAGAGCCGGACACACTGCATCGATATTGAGACAGCATACATGCAAGGCTGTGAGATACTAGACCAGGCAGTGCTGGTGAGTGAATTGTGACTTTTGTTCTCTAGATACATTGTGTGTTGTCCCAGCTAGAAAAACAAAGAGAGTCGCACACTCTATGTATAACCTCCCAGTAATGTATTGGGTAAACCACCAACGTTTCGGCGTCACTGTGCCTTCTTCAGGGTAATGTCATGAATGCTTGAACAGTGTTATGTAGACAAAAAAGTGCAATTAGTGCAACCAATGACAATAGTGAGGGGTGTGTCATAATTATTAGGTTGATTAGAATGAATTGAGTGAAACTGTTAAAAAACAATACTTTACAGCATATTGAATATATTAGGCTATTGTTAGCATTAGCATTAGCATAAGATTAACATCAACATACATCATCGTTTAATTTAATTTCACATATACAGTACCAGTCAAAGTTTTGGACACACCTACTCATTCAAGGGTTTTTCTTTATTTTTATTATATTCTACATTGTAGAATAATAGTGAAGACCTCAAAACTATGAAATAACACATACGGAATCATAAAGTAACCAAAAAAGTGTTAAACAAATCAAAATATATTTTAGATTTTAGATTCTTCAATGTAGCCACCCTTTGCCTTGATGACATCTTTGCACACTCTTGGCATTCTCTCAACCAGCTTCATGAGGAATGCTTTTCAACAGTCTTGAAGGAGTTCCCACATATCCTAAGCACTTGTTGGCTGCTTTTCCTTCACTCTGCGGTCCAATTCATCCCAAACCATCTCAATTGGGTTGAGGTCAGGTGATTGTGGAGGTCAGGTCATCTGATGCAGCATTCCATCACTCTCCTTGGTCAAATAGCCCTTACACAGCCAAGAGGTGTGTTTTGGGTCATTGTCCTGTTGAAAAACAAACGATAGTCCCACTAAGCACAAACCAGATGGGATGGCGTATCGCTGCAGAATGCTGTGGTAGCCATGCTGGTTAAGTGTGCCTTGAATTCTAACTAAATCACAGACAGTGTCACCAGCAAAGTACCCCCCACACCATCACACCTCCTCCTCCTCCATGCTTCATGGTGGGAACCACACATGCAGAGATCCTCCATTCACCTATTCTGCGCCTCACAAAGACATGGCGGTTGGAACCAAAAATCTAAAATTTGGACTCATCAGACCAAAGGACAGATTTCCACCGGTCTAATGTCCATTGCTCGTGTTTCTTGGGCAAGCAAGTCTCTTCTTCTTATTGGTGTCCTTTAGTTGTGGTCTCTTTGCAGCAATTCGACCATGAAGGCCTGATTCACGCAGTCTCCTCTGAACAGTTGATGTTGAGATGTGTCTGTTACTTGAACTCTGTGAAGCATTTATTTGGGCTGCAATCTGAGGTGCAGTTAACTCTAATGAACTTGCAGCAGAGGTAACTCTGGGTCTTCCTTTCCTGTGGCGGTCCTCATGAGAGCCAGTTTCATCATAGCGCTTGATGGTTTTTGAGACTGCACTTGAAGAAACTTTAAAAGTTCTAGAACTTTTCCGGATTGACTGACCTTCATGTCTTAAAGTAATGATGGACTGTCGTTTCTCTTTGCTTATTTGAGCTGTTCATGCCATAATATGGACTTGGTCTTTTATCAAATAGGGCTATCTTCTGTATACCACCCCTACCTTGTCACAACAAATCAAATCAAATGTTATTTGCCACATGCGCCGAATACAACAGGTGTAGACCTTACAATGAAATGCTTACTTACAAGCCCTTAACCAACAATGCTGTATTAAGAGAAATAAGTGTTTAGTAAAAAAATTGATAAATAAAACATAAAAATATAAAATAATTAAAGAGCAGCAGTAAAATTGTCTCCCAACTCATCCCAAACAGTGTCTGGACAGTTAGCTCACAGTGGCACAGCGCCAAGTTCCTGAAATCTATTGCCACTTGGGGTGTAAATGTGAATACCCCATGGGGCAACAAAAATCTCTACTCTGTTTATTATCTATGCATAGTCACTTTAACTCTACCCACATGTACATATTACCTAAATTACCTTGACTAACCGGTGTCCCCGCACATTGACTCTGTACCGGTACCCCCTGTATAGCCTCCCTACTGTTATTTTATTTTACATTTTAGTCATTTAGCAGACGCTCTTATCCAGAGCGACTTACAGTTAGTGAGTGCATACATTATTTTTTTTATAACTTACACAGCCAAGAGGTGTGTTTTGGGTCATTGTCCTGTTGAAAAACAAATGATAGTCCCACTAAGCACAAACCAGATGGGATGGCGTATCGCTGCAGAATGCTGTGGTAGCCATGCTGGTTAAGTGTGGAGTGGGGAGAACAAGTATTTGATACACTGCCGATTTTGCAGGTTTTCCTACTTACAAAGCATGTAGAGGTCTGTAATTTTTATCATAGGTACACTTCAACTGTGAGAGACGGAATCTAAAACAAAAATCAAGAAAATCACATTGTATGATTTTTAAGTAATTAATTTGCATTTTATTGCATGACATAAGTATTTGATACATCAGAAAAGCAGAACTTAATATTTGGTACAGAAACCTCGTGAGTTGTATATAATTTACATTTTAAACATTTGTCATTTAGCAGACTCTAATCCAGAGCAATTTACAGTTAGTGCATTTTACTTAAGGTAGTTACAGTGAGGGAAAAAAGTATTTGATCCCCTGCTGATTTTGTACGTTTGCCCACTGACAAAGATGATCAGTCTATAATGTTAATGGTATTTTTATTTGAACAGTGAGAGACAGAATAACAACAAAAAATCCAGAAAAACACATGTCAAAAATGTTATAAATTGATTTTAATGAGGGAAATAAGTATTTGACCCCTCTGCAAAACATGACTTAGTACTTGGTGGCAAAACCCTTGTTGGCAATCACAGAGATCAGACGTTTCTTGTAGTTGGCCACCAGGTTTGCACACATCTCAGGAGGGATTTTGTCCCACTCCTCTTTGCAGATCTTCTCCAAGTCATTAAGGTTTCGAGGCTGACGTTTGGCAACTCGAACCTTCAGCTCCCTCCACAGATTTTCTATGGGATTAAGGTCTGGAGACTGGCTAGGCCACTCCAGGACCTTAATGTGCTTCTTCTTGAGCTACTCCTTTGTTGCCTTGGCCGTGTGTTTTGGGTCATTGTCATGCTGGAATACCCATCCATGACCCATTTTCAATGCCCTGGCTGAAGGAAGGAGGTTCTCACCCAAGATTTGACGGTACATGGCCCCGTCCATCGTCCCTTTGATGCTGTGAAGTTGTCCTATCCCCTTAGCAGAAAAACACCCCCAAAGCATAATGTTTCCACCTCCATGTTTGACGGTGGGGATGGTGTTCTTGGGGTCATAGGCAGCATTCCCCCTCCTCCATACACGGTGAGTTGAGTTGATGCCAAAGAGCTTGATTTTGGTCTCATCTGACCACAACACTTTCACCCAGTTCTCCTCTGAATCATTCAGATGTTCATTGGAAAACTTCAGACGGGCATGTATATGTGCTTTGCTGCAAGATTTCAGTCCTTCACGGCGTAGTGTGTTACCAATTGTTTTCTTGGTGACTATGGTCCCAGCTGCCTTGAGATCATTGACAAGATCCTCCCGCGTAGTTCTGGGCTGATTCCTCACCGTTCTCATGATCATTGTAACTCCACGAGGTGAGATCTTGCATGGAGCCCCAGGCCGAGGGAGATTGACAGTTCTTTTGTGTTTCTTCTATTTGCGAATAATCGCACCAACTGTTGTCACCTTCTCACCAAGCTGCTTGGCGATGGTCTTGTAGCCTATTCCAGCCTTGTGTAGGTCTACAATCTTGTCCCTGACATCCTTGGTGAGCTCTTTGGTCTTGGCCATGGTGGAGAGTTTGGAATCTGATTGATTGATTGCTTCTGTGGACAGGTGTCTTTTATACAGGTAACAAGCTGAGATTAGGAGCGCTCCCTTTAAGAGTGTGCTCCTAATCTCAGCTCGTTACCTGTATAAAAGACACCTGGGAGCCAGAAATCTTTCTGATTGAGAGGGGGTCAAATACTTATTTCCCTCATTAAAATGCAAATCAATTTATAACATTTTTGACATGCGTTTTTCTGGATTTTTTTGTTGTTATTCTGTCTCTCACTGTTCAAATAAACCTACCATTAAAATGATAGACTGATAATTTCTTTGTCAGTGGGCAAACGTACAAAATCAGCAGGGGATCAAATACTTTTTTCCCTCACTGTATAACCTACAGTGGGGGAAAAAAGTATTTAGTCAGCCACCAATTGTGCAAGTTCCCCCACTTAAAAAGATGAGAGAGGCCTGTAATTTTCATCATAGGTACACGTCAACTATGACAGACAAATTGAGAAAAAAAATAATCCAGAAAATCACATTGTAGGATTTTTTATGAATTTATTTGCAAATTATGGTGGAAAATAAGTATTTGGTCAATAACAAAAGTTTCTCAATACTTTGTTATATACCCTTTGTTGGCAATGACACAGGTCAAACGTTTTCTGTAAGTCTTCACAAGGTTTTCACACACTTGCTGGTATTTTGGCCCATTCCTCCATGCAGATCTCCTCTAGAGCAGTGATGTTTTGGGGCTGTCGCTGGGCAACACAGACTTTCAACTCCCTCCAAAGATTTTCTATGGGGTTGAGATCTGGAGACTGGCTAGGCCACTCCAGGACCTTGAAATGCTTCTTACGAAGCCACTCCTTTGTTGCCCGGGCGGTGTGTTTGGGATCATTGTCATGCTGAAAGACCCAGCCACGTTTCATCTTCAATGCCCTTGCTGATGGAAGGAGGTTTTCACTCAAAATCTTGCGATACATGGCCCCATTCATTCTTTCCTTTACACGGATCAGTCGTCCTGGTCCCTTTGCAGAAAAACAGCCCCAAAGCATGATGCTTCTACCCCCATGCTTCACAGTAGGTATGGTGTTCTTTGGATGCAACTCAGCATTCTTTGTCCTCCAAACACGATGAGCTGAGTTTTTACCAAAAAGTTATATTTTGGTTTCATCTGACCATATGACATTCTCCCAATCCTCTTCTGGATCATCCAAATGCACTCTAGCAAACTTCAGATGGGCCTGGACATGTACTGGCTTAAGCAGGGGGACACGTCTGGCACTGCAGGATTTGAGTCCCTTGCGGCGTAGTGTGTTACTGATGGTAGGCTTTGTTACTTTGGTCCCAGCTCTCTGCAGGTCATTCACTAGGTCCCCCCGTGTGGTTCTGGGATTTTTGCTCACCGTTCTTGTGATCATTTTGACCCCACAGGGTGAGATCTTGTGTGGAGCCCCAGATCGAGGGAGATTATCAGTGGTCTTGTATGTCTTCCATTTCCTAATAATTGCTCCCACAGTTGATTTCTTCAAACCAAGCTGCTTACCTATTGCAGATTCAGTTTTCCCAGCCTGGTGCAGGTCTACAATTTTGTTTCTGGTGTACTTTGACAGCTCTTTGGTCTTGGCCATAGTGGAGTTTGGAGTGTGACTGATTGAAGTTGTGGACAGGTGTCCTTTTATTCTGATAACATGTTCAAACAGGTGCCATTAATACAGGTAACGAGTGGAGGACAGAGGAGCCTCTTAAAGAAGAAGTTACAGGTCTGTGAGAGCCAGAAATCTTGCTTGTTTGTAGGTGACCAAATACTTATTTTCCACCATAATTTGCAAATAAATTCATTACAAATCCTACAATGTGATTTTCTGGATAATTTTTTTTCTCAATTTGTCTGTCATAGTTGACGTGTACCTATGATGAAAATTACAGGCCTCTCATATTTTTAAGTGGGAGAACTTGCACAATTGGTGGCTGACTAAATACTTTTTCCACCCACTGTATATACTTATTATGGACACAGCATGTCTTACACTAGTTATCTTTTTGTTATTAGTTGTTGTTATTAGTCCCATCCTTCAGGTCCATTCAACACCTCCCATCTATCTCTTAACACCATCCATATTGGATTTCAATTTGCCATATATTTTTCAACTGTACTGTGATGTTTTACAAAAGTTCTGAACCTTTCTATTCTCATTGTTTCTACAGTTTGTGAATTGAAAATAAACATCTTTGCTAAAAGTATTATTATATTATTGATCGATTGACTATGACTTTTCAGATCACCCAGTAGTGCTACTACATGGTAATGTAAATTTTTTATTTTTTAGTGATCCAATACGTAATTTTGTTGTAATCCAGAGAGGTTAGAAAATGTATCTAGATCCTCTATGAGGCTGTAGAGGGATTCAAGTTGTGGATTTAAAAGAAAACATGAATCATCAGCGTACAATGACACCTTTGTTTTTAAGCTTGATATTATTGTTGGATCAGATTTTAATAGCTAACATCTCGATGGCAATAATACATAGATATGCCGATAGTGGACAACCTTGTTTCACTCCTCTTACATTTAATTTATCATTTCAGACCTCTTATCCAGAGCGATTCAGTTGACATCATTTTTAACGCCCCCATGGGATGAAACCACAATGGCGTTGAGCAGCCTACATGAGTAGCCATTATGGACGACGCTAGCCAATTGTGCGCACATGGTCTCGTCGCGGCCGGCTACGACAGAGCTGGATTCGACCAGGATCCTAGTGCACAGCTACACTGCGATGCAGTGCCTAGCCACGCGCCACTCTTACAGTTAAACATTCTAGAAATAGCCATTATTACTATTTACCCAGGGTTATTTGATTTAACCAAATTTATAAGAGATTGTCCAAAATTGAAATGCTCCAGGCATTTATATATAAACCTCAGTCGTCCTGTATCAAATGCCTTTTCGAAGTCTGCAATGAATAGTAGGCCTGGTTTCCCAGATTTTCCATAGTGTTCTATTGTTTCCAGTACTTGCCTTATATTATCTCCTATGTATCGCCCATGTAAAAAAACTGTCTGATTAGAATGAATAATGTCCGACAATACCTTTTTAACATGCAACATTTTAACTACTACAGTATGTCAGGAATCGTATGGCTTCGTTCCCAGAACCAATGTGAAACCAAAAACATACCTTCCGACAACTTCCAAGGACCCACTGAAAATCCCAGTATTCCTCTGTAGCGGAGAAATTGAGCCATTTTTTACATTCAGCATCACTCTGTCAAGGGAATCATAGTATTCTTTCTAACAAAGATACACTACATGATCAAAAGTATGTGAACACCTGCTCGTCGAAATTCTCATTCTAAAATCATGTACATTAATATGGAGTTGGTCCCCCCTTTGCTGCTATAACAGACTCCACTCTTCTGGGAAGGCTTTCCACTAGATGTTGGAACATTGCTGCGGGGACTTGCTTCCATTCAGCCACAAGAGCATTAGTGAGGTCGGACACTGATGTTGGGCGATTAGGCCTGGCTCGCAGTCAGCGTTCTATTCATCCCAAAGGTGTTTGATGGGGTTGAGGTCAGGGCTCTCTGCAGGCCAGTCAAGTTCTTCCACATCAATTTTGACAAAACATTTCTGTAAGGACCTCGCTTTGTGCACAGGGGCATTGTTATGCTGAAACAGGAAAGGGCCTTCCCCAAACTGTTGCCACAAAGTTGGAAGCACAGAATCGTCTAGAATGTCATTGTATGCTGTAGCGTTAAGATTTCCCTTCACTTGAACTAAGGGGCCTAGCCCGAACCATGAAAAACAGCCCCAGACCATTATTCTTCCTCCACCAAACTTGACAGTTGGCACTATGCATTGGGACAGGTAGCGTTCTCCTGGCATCCGCCAAACTCAGATTCGTCCGTCGGACTGCCAGATGGTGAAGCGTGTTTCATCACTCCAGAGAATGCGTTTCCACTGCTCCAGAGTCCAATGGTGGCAAGCTTTACACCACTCCAGCTGACACTTGGCATTGCACATGGTGATCTTAGGCTTGTGTGCGGCTGCTCGGCCATGGAAACCCATTTCATGATGCTCCCGACGAACAGTTCTTGTGCTGACATTGCTTCCAGAGGCAGTTTGGAACTCGGTAGTGAGTGTTGCAACCGAGGACAGACGGTTTTTACGCGCTTCAGCACTCGGCAGTCCCGTTCTGTGAGCTAGTGTGGCCTACCACTTCGCGTTTGAACCGTTCTAGCATAGACTGACTTGTTGGAAAGGTGGCATCCTATGACGGTGCCACGTTGAAAGTCACTGAGCTCTTCAGTAAGGCCATTCTACTGCCAATGTTTGTCTATGGAGATTGCATGGCTGTGTGCTCGACTTTATACACCTGTCAGCAACGGGTGTGGCTGAAATAGCCGAATCCACTAATTTGAAGGGGTGACCACATACTTTTGTGTATATATAGTGTATCTACATATATTTCAGGATGATGTGTATGCCTGGAAATAATCAGAATTAATGTAAACATTACAGTTTTTAAAACATAGCTTGTCCAAAAGTGGTCTCTAGACACAACTTACCCCGGGTATGAGGTAAGTTGCGCTGCGGGACAGGGTAAGTTATGCTGCGTTCACGTGCTAGTAGGAACTAGGAAACTCAGAAATGTCCGACTTGCTAACTGGTTGAACGCGGCACAGGTATAACTACAATCAGTTAGCAAGTCAGAAATGTCAGTTTCCTTGTTCCAACTAGCACATGAACGCGGCAATAAGCCCCCTACAAATTGCTGTACTGAATGAAATATTACCACTACCTTTTTCAAACCCATTCAAACACAATTCAACACAATCACAATTGCTTTTTGTATTTGAATAATTTTAAGCATATTTTAACACAGGCTTAACACCTAACAAACCCTTTGTACTTTTTTTTGTTGTTACACTTTTAACCTGTTGTTACCTCATATCCCAACGAAAATGCCTTGCATTACGCCTGGGAAGAAAACGCTTCAATTAGCTCAACTTGCCATTGGCTCAACTTATGCCAAGGCAAACATTTTTACTATATTAGCCCACACAGCTACAAGGATGCAATTTTATGCTAGGTTTAGGACCTCATATTGAAGCTTATAGAGAACCCAAGTCCCCAACTGATGTATACAACAATCTTTAAATGATCTACTTTGGTTTAGATGCAAGCATCATAAAACCTCTAACACAAATTCATTTGACATGGTGAAAATCTGTTTGCTTACCACTTTTTCCATGTGGTTTCTTCCTTTACAGACTCCATGAAATGATGACCTCTTCCTAAATATTTTGTCAAATGATTAATTTTGTGTACGGTTACCTATAAACAAGGGTGGCTCAACTTACCTCTTTGGCTCAACTTACCCCACTCTCCCCTATAGTCCTCACAACTCCATGGCCTAGCATGAATCTCCCTCAGCAACGTTGTTTCCATGCTGTATTGTACTTGACATAATATAGTATGCTTATGTTGTTGATTTTGAAAAGATAACGGGTGGGTCTTGAGTTTGAGATAAAGCATATGATAATGTGTATTTGATTTAGCCACAGGTGAGTGAGAAAATATACCATGACCATGTGTGAGCCTTGCTTCCGCTGTAGGCAGTGAAGGAGCTGCAGACATCGGCCCGTGAGGCTATTATCATGCTGAGGGCCATGATAGGGGAGGTGTGCTCCAATATGGAGGAAGAGGAGAATGCAATCTGCAACCTCTTCAACAGTATGCAGGTAAGATATCATTAAATGACTATTTTCAGGTCACCTGAAAAAAAAAAAAAGATTATGTTGATTATGTTGTTATTGAGATATGAATGTATTAAATAAACATTGTAAAGTTTAACTATCTAAGTGCAACACAATAAATATGATTCCAAATTTGAATATGTGATATCCCTTTACATGGAATATATAACTTTGAAGATGCTATGATGGTGCCTCACCACTGGGTGTCTCTCTTGCTCTTTTTGTGACAAGACTACAAGGGTCTTCTGCACTCAACAAAAACTCCATGAATGGAGTTAAACCAAACCCATACTGGTACAATTACAAGTCAATATGTACCACAAAAGTACATTTTAGAGGAAACTCATCAGAAGTTAAATCCCTAAACAGTTATTTTCTAAAATGGAGGGTGGCAAACAAGGCCAACAGTCTTTTCACAGTAGACCTACTACTAGCAGAGGTTTTCATAGCCTACAGCCATTTTCATATCAATTTTCCTTGTGGTTAACTGTTTCTCTGCTCTCATCTGACAGGAAAGACTGGCTGAGAGGAAGAACATTCTGTTGCGAGCGGCTCAAAGGTACTGCATTACTCTGCTATGAAACTGTTGCTTTGATGCCAGAAAAACAATGCATAGGTAATCTGATAGGCATGGATTGAATTTAGCAATTTCCCCTAGGTCTCAATGTGCTTTACATTGAACAGTTGTACAGGGTTAGCAAATCTCATTTACCAATACGAATGTATTGCAGCCATTATATGTCACACCCTGGTGTAGGCTAGTTTCCATTTGGCCCCATGAGATAGACTTCACAGTAAACAATTAAAACAATAATGACTAGGCAAACAGCGTGAGGACTGCTTCATTACAACTACTCGTTGTTCCTTGTAGTTCATGGTTACATTTAATCAATGAAAATGTGGAGATAACCTCTGAGGTATTGATATTTACTCTCTGGTAGCAGTCCATCACAACTAGTGGAGCAGGAAGCTAGATCCTGGGGGCTACTGGACTGCAACATTACTGCCCTGAAGTGTGTGTGGGAGGGAGTGTATCAGGTTGCATTGTGTAGAGATCTTTATTGAGATTTTTGTGCCCTGCATCCTCAATCTTTCTCGGCTCGCTGCCTGGAAGCGGACCAGTGACTGTCTGGATTCCCGGAAGGGAGTTAAAGGCTATTTATGGCAGGCTGTGTGTTTCCGTCTCAGTGTCTGTCGGTGTGTATGTGTTTGTTACGGAGAGCAGAACATAGATAAGGACCTGGATATATGAAGTATGGGTTTCTGTGGTGTTGTGTGGGTATTGCTTAACCCTCTTCATGGAGGGGATAGATGTGTAGTGGAAATGTTGTGTGTGTGCTTGTAGCCAACATGAAGAAAAGGAGAAGGTGCTAAAGGAGCAGCTCTCACACCTTGCTGCCCTCCTGCCAACCCTGCAGGTTAGATCATGATATCTCTATATCTCCAGGCCTGTAATTAACAGTGTAGGCCTATAACTAATTGCTCAACTCATATGGAGCTAAATTATACCCATAAATACATTTGACAGTGGTATAGATTGTTCATTATTACCTGAATAGTTAATTATTCCCTCAAGTGTGGTTGACCTCTGACCCTCTCTGATGCCCTCTCCAAGGTTCACCTGGTCACCTGCTCAGCCTTTCTCAGCTCAGCCAACAAGTTTGAGTTTCTGGACATGGGATATGTGAGTACTGGCACTTTATATTCTGAAGAGAATCAAAGATAAAATGGGTAAATTAACCAGAGGTTTGCATCAAACATGGTGTGTCTCTCTCCTCCACAGCAACTCATGGAAAGGCTGAGGAGGATTGTGAAGCTTCCTCATCGACTGGGACCAGTGCAAAGCAGCAAAGTGAGTGTGGCTTGTCTACTCTGATCTTACAAAACAATGTGACTTCACTCCGCACTGCCCTTACAAAAAAATATTGCAATTTTGAAACTGCAGTAAAAGTGCAGTAACTGCGCAGTAAATGCAGTCGACTGTGGTATTTTGGACGCAGTTGAACTGCAGTTATACTGCACTGTAATTGCAGTCATACTGCACACTGACTGCAATATTATTTTGTAAGGGTGTCATGTAGAATTAGCATTGAATACTATACCTACAGTAAATGTGTTGTCTCTTCCTTCAAAGAAAGGTGCTAGCCAAACTCTGCCCCAGATGATCTCTCTCTCCTCTCAGATTAACACAGACTACAGGAGTGAGTTTGCTCGCTGTCTCGAGCCTCTACTGCTGCTGGGACAGCGCCGCCCAGCCTCCATTACCGGAGCAACTAGTATTGCAGCCCTGTGAGTCTGCTTGGCCTTTAACTCTTGTGCAAAATGTAAGCTTGAAAACTTTGAAATCTTCCCTAATCTCTGTCTTTCAGTGTCCAATTGGAGCTTTTTTATGAGACCAAAACTCTGGACCCAAACATTCACACATATCAAATATGAGATTATATAAAAATCTCCTGAGATTAAAAGATGAGTTAAAATATAAACAATTCTTGGAAGCACAGCTGGCAGATGGCGATAACCACAGAGAGAGGGAAGGAGACGCCATTGTGAGCCCCACTATGTCAGTTATCCTGTCTGCCTGTAAACTCTGGCCACAGACATGCTTAGGCTACGTAATTCACCTTTTTGGTGGCGGTCTTCCTGTTATAGCAGGCGCTAGTCCCGTCCTGTCCGTGCCAGAAATACGGGTGATAACAGTGGGCTGGGCCAGCGCAAAACCAGGGTTCCAGGAAATAGCTTTTTTTCCAGCAAGGCTCTGTGTCTGTCTGGATATCACAACACACTCTGGATCCCAATCAGACCTTGACACACATAACAGTATGACTCTCAATACACACACATACTGGGGTGTGAATGTATTTGGCTGAAGTATAAGATCCAGTGAGGACGACTGGACCCAAATTCAGCACTGGGCTTGCACTGAGCTTAGCTGTAGAGTTTTAACAGAATCAAAATGTCTCCTTCCAGAGCCTTGATTCCTAGTTGGTGTAAGCTATAGTTGTAGGTTTTTGACACAGACATAGAGGGTAATTTGTTTTCAGAATGGAGCCATTTGTTCTCACAAACTCGTTCAGATGCAGACTCTGTCCCTGTCTATGTGGACACAAGTGACGCATGTTCCCTGACCAATTTTCCACATCAATCACTCCCAACTGTTCACAGGTCTGTAACTCCCCCTTTTCCCAAACCCCCAACATACTGACAGTCCTCCCTCCCAACCAGTGCCCCTCCATGTAGGATACTGAGTGGGTGGGGATGGCACTGAGCAGGCTGGCACTATTTTTATCAGAATTTCACAGAACTCTCCAGGATTCATCTGGTAGCTAGGCACACAGGAGTGGCAGGGCCAATTTGTTCCATGCCACTGATGTCACTGCTTTTGCCAATGTCTTAAATTGGTATCAGTGGTGGGGGCAGCAAGTGGATGCTCAGAGGACTAAATGCGTATGGCAGGGTGAGAAAGAGACGCTCACAGCAAACAATCAGAGACTCACTCTAGGAATAGTTCTACTGCTGTATCAGGGCATGTGCCAGGCAATAAATCAGGACTAAAAGCATCCCAGAGCCCAGGTAAGCTGCATGTCTTCTCCAGTTGTGTGCTGATAAACTTTTTCCGTAATTATAGAATATATGTCTTTACCTACTGGCTAATGATATTTCCATCTGTTATATATTCCAGAGTTTATTCCATGTTTCATTGGCAACATAAATAGTCCTCCCTCATTAATGGTGTACAATGGTAAACTATGGTAAACATTTAGTTAAGATGATAATATTAAGTGTTAGAAAAGTCTGTTAAAGTGGTCAACAGTATTAAGGGAATAGCTATCTATTACTCTAGTGGTGGTGGTAAGGAGTGAGGGAAAGCCAGGTCAGGGCCCACTGTCTGTCTGTCCTGGTTGTCTCTTTGTCTTAAAGCTCGCTGGAGACGGGGAGAATTATCTGTTTTCAGTTCAGCCAGGCCTCAAAAGTGACTCAAGTACAGTCTACAATATTTATAATTTCCAATTGTTGCAAATACAGTATATGAAGCAATGGTTCTATTGTTCTAGATTTTATAGCAAAGTTATTTTCTGAACTGGAAGCAAATGTTTTACATTGTTAGTTGTAAACATGGTCTTCAGAATGCCATTATCTGAATAGCCTGTGTTGAGTTATGGTTTTGAGGTGCACGCTTCAACTATGAATCACTCTCTCTGGAACATTAGCAGTGAGGAGAACTGAATATACTATTGAACATAAGGGACAGTAGATTTATATCAAATGGGATAGATAGGCTGTAAAAGGTACTCTCTGATCCATTCTTTATGTAAGTATATAATTAGAGCCTTCAATAGATACACACCTTTACCTCACCTGAGGTTTTGGTGCATAACCCAGAGGAGGATGGCTCTTGATCCTTCAACACAATTGAGGCAAAGAAAATAACTGTTACTCAGGATGAGGCTGCCCGATGGATGATACCCTGTGGTTCTATCTCCCCTCCCTCAGGCTCCATTCCCCCCTCTCCATGTCGTGCCGCTCCCCATCCCTCAGTGACATGCCCCTGGGCTCGGCCGCGGGGAGAAAGCCCACCTCCCACCGCTACATCTGCACCAAGGTCCTCCTGGCAGAGGGGGGTGACACACCCTTCACTGAGCACTGCCGAAACTATGAGAACAGTTACAGGGTGAGTGACATGACCACAATGACAACAACTATGGGTAGAGTGACTTGGCCACTTCACTTGTGATAGGGTGTCTGTGACAGTGTTGGCGCATGCGTGCGTACATTCATGTGTGTGTGCGTTTGACCCAGACCCTCCAGACTGAGATCCAGAACCTGAAGGACCAGGTACAGGAGCTACACAGGGACCTGACCAAGCACCACTCCCTCATCAACACAGACACCATGGGGGAGATCCTGGACCGCTCCCTGCACATCGACGGACAGATCACCTCCCAGTACTCCTCTGTGGAGACCATGAGGGCTCTGTTTGAAGAGGTACGTCCACAGGCCCCATATCTAACAGCAGCAACATGTTTAGGAGGTCAAGGTGTGATTATACAGCAGCTTATATATCCTTTAATATAGCCTATGTGCACATTAATGACTTGGCCTTATTAATGATTTGGCATTATTAAAGGAAGTAAACATTATTTCCCTTTAGATTTGGGAGGAGACCTTTCAGAGGGTCACTAATGAGCAGGAGATCTATGAAGGTAAGGTTTACCCGTAAACTAAACATCGATCTGTTGTATGGATGTAAATGTGGACTTGGTAACATGCATCATGATCTAATCCCATGTTTGGATGTGATGCATGTGCTTTGTTCTGTACTTTGACATGGTATTTGTGTTCAACCACATTCTAGCACAGCTCCATGACCTGCAGCAGCTGAAGCAGGAGAACTCGTACCTGACCACCATCGCCCGACAGATTGGACCATACATCATGTCTATCGCCAAGGTTAAGGAGCGCCTAGAACCCAGGTAATAACAAGATACGGTTCAAATCCCTTACAAACTACAACTCCATCGATACAAAATACAGAAATCCAATGTCAAATATATAATTAAGTAAAATATACTGGTCAATCCAGATTTCAGGAGCTCAAAGAGCTTCATGATGACCGCACAGAAACCATGCTGAAAATCTATGAGGACACCTCTATGGCCATGGACACACAACACAGGTACCTCCCCACACATCTCAGTAGCAAGTCACCACATCGGTAGCACATCACAGATTAACTAATGATCGGAAACTGGGACAAATTCAATTTTATAATCATGCAGGTGTTGTATACACTATGCGAGCTGTGAACCCTCTCTATGTTTTTCCTTGGCAGTGAAGACCACACCTGTCTCACTAACAGTGACTGGGAAAGGAACACGGACAACCGTTCCCTCATCATACAGTCTGATGAGGCTTCCATCAAGACCAACGACTACCATTGGCCAGGAAGGCAGACAGCCAATCACAATGAGATGCCATTATAAACCAGCATGTTCCACTGCCCCCTCCCCCCCCGTTTCCTTTGTGGCCCCCAGCTCAACACAACAGGACAGGGACAGCATGTGACCTTCTCCTCTGTTCAGATAGCCGCTCCTGACATTTCATGGTGACATTTCTTGGCAGGGAGGTGTTGTCATCAGCTCAGAGGTGAGTCCTTAGACAAACATGTCTCAGAGGACTCCACTGACACTCACTGGACTCAATGACTCACTAATTGGAGTCAATGGACTCACTGAGAGGGGGGTGAATCTCCTCCAATCCCACTCGACAATGTGAAAAGATCAATCTGATGGACCAGTAGACCATCACCTCATTATGGACTGAATGGATGGAGGATCTGGAGCTTTATGCTGAGGAAGTGACTGTGACTACCATGTCTCAATCAACGATGCATGGTTTAGACCTGCAATAACATATAGAGGGAGAGTGCTTCCTCAGTCGATATTTTTTTTAATGGTCATACAGTGGGGAAAAAAGTATTTAGTCAGCCACCAATTGTGCAAGTTCTCCCACTTAAAAAGATGAGAGAGGCCTGTAATTTTCATCATAGGTACATGTCAACTATGACAGACAAAATGAGAAGAAAAAAACCAGAAAATCACATTGTAGGATTTTTAATGAATATATTTGCAAATTATGGTGGAAAATAAGTATTTGGTCAATAACAAAAGTTTCTCAATACTTTGTTATATACCCTTTGTTGGCAATGACACAGGTCAAACGTTTTCTGTAAGTCTTCACAAGGTTTTCACACACTGTTGCTGGTATTTTGGCCCATTCCTCCATGCAGATCTCCTCTAGAGCAGTGATGTTTTGGAGCTGTCGCTGGGCAACACAGACTTTCAACTCCCTCCAAAGATTTTCTATGGGGTTGAGATCTGGAGACTGGCTAGGCCACTCCAGGACCTTGAAATGCTTCTTACGAAGCCACTCCTTCGTTGCCCGGGCGGTGTGTTTGGGATCATTGTCATGCTGAAAGACCCAGCCACGTTTCATCTTCAATGCCCTTGCTGATGGAAGGAGGTTTTCACTCAAAATCTCACGATACATGGCCCCATTCATTCTTTCCTTTACACGGATCAGTCGTCCTGGTCCCTTTGCAGAAAAACAGCCCCAAAGCATGATGTTTCCACCCTCATGCTTCACAGTAGGTATGGTGTTCTTTGGATGCAACTCAGCATTCTTTGTCCTCCAAACACGACGAGTTGAGTTTTTACCAAAAAGTTCTATTTTGGTTTCATCTGACCATATGACATTCTCCCAATCCTCTTCTGGATCATCCAAATGCACTCTAGCAAACTTCAGACGGGCCTGGACATGTACTGGCTTAAGCAGGGGGACACGTCTGGCACTGCAGGATTTGAGATCTTGCGTGGAGCCCCAGATCAAGGGAGATTATCAGTGGTCTTGTATGTCTTCCATTTCCTAATAATTGCTCCCACAGTTGATTTCTTCAAACCAAGCTGCTTACCTATTGCAGATTCAGTCTACCTGCCTGGTGCAGGTCTACAATTTTGTTTCTGGTGTCCTTTGACAGCTCTTTGGTCTTGGCCATAGTGGAGTTTGGAGTGTGACTGTTTGAGGTTGTGGACAGGTGTCTTTTATACTGATAACAAGTTCAAACAGGTGCCATTAACACAGGTAACGAGTGGAGGACAGAGGAGCCTCTTAAAGAAGAAGTTACAGGTCTGTGAGAGCCAGAAATCTTGCTTGTTTGTAGGTGACCAAATACTTATTTTCCACCATAATTTGCAAATAAATTCATAAAAAATCCTACAATGTGATTTTCTGGAGAAAAAAAATCTCAATTTGTCTGTCATAGTTGACGTGTACCTATGATGAAAATTACAGGCCTGTCTCATCTTTTTAAGTGGGAGAACTTGCACAATTGGTGGCTGACTAAATACTTTTTTCCCCCACTGTATGTTGTTATGCTGTGTTGTCCTGAAAGGGCTATTCGTTTGATTGTATGGTTCTAAAACCTATGGTTGTATTTGTATCATATGATTACTAGTTATATACAGTACATAGTAGAATGTATCTGGTGATGTATGGCTTGTTGGTCCTCATCCTCAGGTCATAGATAGTGCTGGTGTGACGGCAATAAATAAAACAGTAAAATGTAATGATGCACATCAACCTGTGCATTAATCATGGAGAAACTGGGCGAGTATTGTCAGTGTGGTTTCCTTAACTTACCCAAGAATAAGCAGCAAATTGGTGAAGCCAAGCTTATGTGAGGGAAGCAATGATCTCTCTCTCTCTCTCTCTTCCTTCGCTCTCTTCTATATCTCTTCTCTCTAGCGCTGCTATCCTCTATATCTCGTTAGCTCGCTGCTCTCGCCTGCTCTCTCTCTGCTCTATCTCTACTCTATCTCTCGCTCTCTCTGCTCTCTTCTCTCTCTCTTCTCTCTCTCTCTCTCTCTCTCTCTCTTCATCTCTTCAATTCAATTTAAGGGCTTTATTGGCTGGAAACGTATGTTAACATTGCCCAAGCAAGTGAAGTTAGATAGTAAACAAAAGTCAAATAAACAATAAATATTAACAGTAAACATTACACTCAGAAGTTCCAAAATAATAAATAAATTTCAAATGTAATATTATGTATGTATACAGTGTTGTAACAATGTGCAAATAGTTAAAGTACAAATGGGAAAATAGATAAACATAAATATGGGTTGTATTTATAATGGTGTTTGTTCTTCACTGGTTGCCCTTTTCTTGTGGCAACAGGTCACACATCTTGCAGCTGTGACGGCACACTGTGGTTTTTCACCCAGTAGATAAGGGAGTTTATCAAAATTGGGTTTGTTTTCCAATTCTTTGTGGATCTCTGTAATCTGAGGGAAATATGTGTCTCTAATATGGTCATACATTTGGCAGGAGGTTAGGAAGTGCAGCTCAGTTTCCACCTCATTTTGTGGGCAGTGTGCACATAGCCTGTCTTCTCTCGAGAGCCAGGTCTGCCTACGGCGGCCTTTCTCAATAGCAAGGCTATGCTCACTGAGTCTGTACATAGTTAAAGCTTTCCTTAAGTTTGGGTCAGTCACAGTGGTCAGGTATTCTGCCACTGTGTACTCTCTGTTTAGAGCCAAATAGCATTCTAGTTTGCTATGTTTTTTTGTTAATTCTTTCCAATGTGTCAAGTAATTCTCTTTTTGTTTTCTCATGATTTGGCTGGGTCTAATTGTGTTGTTTTTGTTGTCCTGGGGCTCTGTGGGGTCTGTTTGTGTTTGTGAACAGTGCCCCAGGACCAGCTTACTTAGGGGACTCTTCTCCAAGTTCATCTCTCTGTAGGTAATGGCTTTGTTATGGAAGGTTTGGGAATCGCTTCCTTTTAAGTGGTTATAGAATATAACTGCTCTTTTCTGGATTTTGATAATTAGCGGGTATCGGCCTAATTCTGCATGCATTATTTTGTGTTTTTCGTTGTACACAGAGGATATTTTTGCAGAATTCTGCATGCAGAGTCTCAATTTGGTGTTTGTCCCATTTTGTGAATTCTTGGTTGGTGAGCGGACCCCAGACCTCACAACCATAAAGGGCAATGGGTTCTATAACTGATTCAAGTATTTTTAGCCAGATCCTAATTGGTATGTCAAATTTTATGTTCCTTTTGATGGCATAGAAGGCCCTTCTTGCCTTGTCTCTCAGATCGTTCACAGCTTTGTGGAAGTTACCTGTGGCGCTGATGTTTAGGCCGAGGTATGTATAGTTTTTTGTGTGCTCTAGGGCATCGGTGTCTAGATGGAATTTGTATTTGTGGTCCTGGCAACTGGACCTTTCTCTCTCTCTCTCTCTCTCTTCTCTCTCTCTCTCTCTCTCTCTCTCTCTCTCTCTCTCTCTCTCTCTCTCTCTCTCTCTCTCTCTCTCTCTCTCTCTCGCTCTCGCTCTCGCTCTCTCCCCCCCTCCCCCACATCTGAATTTTGAATTCAATAAAGATTGAACTACAGGTAACTGCTAAAATAAAGGAAACACCAACATAAAGTGTCTTGGGCCACCATGAGCCAGAACAGCTTCAATGCACCTTGGCATAGATTCTACAAGTGTCTGGAACTCTATTGGAGGCATGCGACACCATTCTTCCACAAGAAATTCCATCATTTGGTGTTTTGTTGATGGTGGTGGAAAATGCTGTGTCAGGCGCCGCTCCAGAATCTCCCACGTGTTCAATTGGGTTGAGATCTGTTGACTGAGACGGCCATGGCATATGGTTTACATCGTTTTCATGCTGATCAACCCATTCAGTGACCACTTGTGCTCTGTGGATGGGGGCATTGTCATCCTATGGGGGCATAGCGATGGTAGTCGTTTTTATACATGACCCTAAGTATGATGGGATGTTAATTGCTTAATTAACTCAGGAACCTCACATATGTGAAAGTATTTGTATTTGTATCCCTCATTTACTCAAGTGTTTTCATTATTTTGGCAGTTACCTGTATACATTTCTATCTGGTGTACATACTATGCTTTATTTGTCCTTTCCTATTTTCTTGTCTGTTTCTTTTTTTTATTGTCTGCTGAAGACATGTCCATACAAAAAAGTATTCCTATATTATAAGAAAGACATTGCTTCACCAGTAATTAATATCCCCCTTTGTATTGTGGATAGAAGCAGGAATGACCTCTATGCAGGAAAACCAGGCCTACACACAGATGGATGACATAGAGCAGAGGGTGAAGGTTATTTGCGTTACAGTATGTGGGTTTGGGTCTGGTCAGCCCCGCTGCTTCTCAGAAAATATTGGGGTCAGACTGGACCTACAGTACAGAACAGGGCCGTCTCTCCTCTGCAGAGGAGTTGGGTACACACTCATTAAAAACACATTTGTGACAGCAGAGTAGAAAAGTGTGCAACTGCTCTGGCCATCCACTGCCTCCCAGAGGTCGTATATCATCTCATTGAACATTTAAACCAAACCTTCTTTCATCCCCTGTCCACTATAGAGGATATTGACGACCCGTGACTGATCCCAGCCAGGTGTTGAACAGTAATTGGAATCAATGTTGATGCCCTTATCACCACGGTGACAGGTGCTGGGGCAGCCATATAAAAAGGTCAGATGGCGAGAGAGTAGTCCCATGGGATTGTGGATCCTCAAGGAAAAAACATATCTCACTAGCACCAACCAAACCTCTTTACATACACACTGACAGACACACATACACTCACGTGTGCATGCACAAACAAACACACACCCACACGCTCACTGACAATATCAATGCATGTTAATATAAGTCAATTTCCTTCACTATTCCCTGTCTCTCAGCTGTACAATTTAAGGCTGTCTCTCAGCCTAGGGTTTCTAATCTGACCCGTCTCTCTGAAGGTCACACTGTCCTCGGTCTCCACGGCTACGACAGGGAGATGAGATTCTGATGGAATAGTGTGACATGAACACAGTGCCCAGTCTACACAGGGGAACCACCCACCCACTGGATCCAGTGAAACTAGGGCAGGGACACACACACAGTTTGGGTCACACACACACACGCACACACACATCAGCTGGAGGAGTGATCGAAGGCCTTTTTCCAGCTGTCTGTATAGTATAGTATATTTAC